CACGGCAAGAAAGGTCGCGTTATCCACGAATAATGCGCAAAGTAAAATTGAAGAATTATTTAAAATAATCCTACGTTTTCCACATGTTATCTTCAAGCGGGTATTATTCGAATTTTCCCCTACGTTTTACCTTCGTATTCCTTCTGGGCAAAATTCTTATTTTACACACATTTTTCCAGACGCCAAAATCACGGGATAATATAAGTTATCCTAACAATTTTACCTCTGTTTGCCTGACAGTCTTAACGCGCATTTTACCCATGTTTTACCGACAGTAAAATGACTAGATAACAAGTATTATCGTGTATGATTTACTTTCGTTATCTTGCAGAAGAAAAGCACGTGTAATTCTGGCATAATCATTGTATTTTACCCGTGGCAATAGGATAATTGAAAATAATATCGCATAATGCCAGATGGTAAAATGTACAACGTAATCCTTAATCATTATGCTCCCTTCTTGCGTTTTACCTTCGTTTTACCTTTCACTGAGCCAAAAGCCAAATATTCTTTAGTATTCAAGTATTGAATAGCCCTTCGAAATTTTAAGTATTCAAACGTATTCAAGTAGTGTGGTGTACGGTACGCCGATAGCATTCTTCTAATTGCAAATTTTGCCTACAAAATTAATCTTTATTGTTATAGTAATCGAATCAAAATATTTCGCGTTGAAATATGCGAGCGTTTACGATACACAAGTATTAATACTCCTTCGAAACTTTGAGTATTCGAAGGTTTTCAGGTAGCGTGATCTATTTGACGTCTGATGGTATTCTGCCATACGTCTACTTTTCGTATGAAGCGAACTTTAGTATTCAAGTCAGTCTGAAGTTGAAACACTCGAATGGATCATTTGATAATTAACTGCTATAGTGATTTCACTTTTTCTGATGTCCTTTTAAGACTTCACGCATCTATATTCATTCGATATGATCAAGTATTATGTAAGTGCACTCTTGCTTGAATACTTTGTTTTCGAAAATGGCTTGACGCGGGCTCGAAACGTTTTAAAATTTGCTACAAACTCAACATACTTTTTTTCACTTTTTTCAACTGAGATGAACTCCTATATTGAAATTAATCTGCAGTTAGTAGTAGCTACAGCATTTGCTGAACCCTGCGTGCTTCAAAACTCTAACAGAGCCTATAAAGAGCTCTTTATTTACAAGTTTTAGCGGCGAATTTAGCATCTTTTATCGCACAATTTGTGCTGTTGTTTATTGTTCAAAATACTGTATTGCGTGGGCTGTTACTCAAATATCTTTTGTTGTGATATTAGCCTATACTAACAATCGTTGATTGCGCATGCGTGCGTGCTTACGATATGCCAAGCTCAATTGGTTCCCACATTGAAGATGATACGTTGAATGCTGTGCTATAAAAGGTACGTATTTTGGGGGCAAGTAGCAGCTTGGCCAAAGATAGGGGTTATCTTGTGCGCGACGGCGTGTGAATGGTCTTGGGGCCGGTAATTCCCTCCCATGCAACCAAGCAAGCCACCGTGAGTTCCTTGATAAACAAAGACCTTTTAAAGGCGCCCCGACGTTCAAGGAAGGCCCGTACGCTAGCACTCGCTTTGCAGGAAAGTCGTGATTTCAACTGTAGGTAGAGGCTAGTTTAAACGTATCGTGGCGTGGTCTAGGGGACCCCACTTTTTACTTTGATGGTATTTCGTTTTTTTGTTATTGTTTTTAATAATTTCAGCAAAGACAGAAGACGTCACGTTAAGATTTACGTCTATTAAGAAGAGCCCAACATACGAGCAAACCTGAAATATCTATAAGGAAAAAAAAATCAGTAATAAAGATCGAATAAACATTCTTAAACATCGATTCTCATCAAGTATTCAATAATTAAGGATCCAAGACAAGATCGAAAAGCAAACACACACACACAAAATAATAATGTCCAATAGAACAAAAAGGACATCTATACTAATAAGGTCTAACTTTAAATACTTGATCGCGATAGAATTTTAGAAAAACAAACTAAATGCTTTGCACTATGTTTAACAAAATATATTGCTATTTATTATTTTGTAAAATGGATTGTAACTTTAAAAAACTTTAGGACGGCTTACAATATTCTGTAAGTGGATTAAAAATGAGTAAACGTACCCCTGACTGGCATTTGTCAGGCAATAAACATCTTCAAGTGTTCACAATTAGAAAATTGCTTTATTTCCAAAAGAAACTTACCTGTTTGGATTGAATTTGTAAATAAGGTTTCCTATTACAGTTGTTCCGGTAATTCTTCAGAAGGTCTTGCACATACAGGCAAGATAAAACTCCTTTCCGTGATCTACACGGATTTGGTCCCACATCCCATGTTGTTCAATAGATAACCTACAATCATGTGACAGAAATAATTTATGCTTAAAAGAGACTGACAAAATTTTACTTTAATTCATCAGTGGGTACATCTATGTAATGGATACAAACTCACTGAAAAATTATATAATAATGCTCTGAAATCAATGATCAGAGAATGAACGTTGGAAAGCTGGAATTGAAATACTTCATTATACTAAATTAAGTAATAGATAACTTTTTCCGTGTTTACATAGCCTGATGCAAACACGAGGGTAGGTTGGGAGAATTCGAGACGGTTATGCAAACCCGAGACGAACAAATTCCCAAAGCTACAAATAAAGACCTTGGTCGGATTAATTACGTTTAATAAATAAGCTGGTATTCATGTTTTAGGTTAAACTAGTAGCTTGTTTATCGTGTACCATTAGGCAACGAATTTATAAAGAGACTCATTATGAACAATCGTTGAACTGAAAGAAATCTCGATTCTCAAGCGCAAATCGCAATTCTTGTACTACTTTTCTTATGTTCAGTAGTATCTCAATAAAATGCAAAATACTCACTAAATTCCTCAATTTTTAGCTTCATAGAAAAATGTTACTTGCTTTTCACGCGTTATTCACAATAATAAAGATGCAGTTAAGCTTATTACGTTTTTGATTTTTTACTTCCAGTTTCAAGTTGCTTTGTTTATTTATAGTTTATACCGAAGATTCTACGCACTCAAAACCTACAAGAAATAGTAAAACTTCATGCAGAATACTCATAACTAGTTGTTGCCAAGTTTTCGGATACATTTTTGTATAAAAAGCTGATTTTTTTCCTATTCTACTTCTAATTTTGAATCGCACTTGACAAAAAATGGTGACGTCATGTTTACATACATGTTTACATACTCTGATACAAACACGGCAGTCGGCCAATCAGAACGCGCGTAGTATCCAAGTTATTAGGGGGATAGGGTTTTGTGAGTTATGTTACACACAATCAAATGCTGCACTACAATGTACATATCAAATAATTGACGGATGGACATCGTCGTTTCTCAATCAGTAAAGGAAGTTAATCTCGTGCATGTACATGAAGATAAAGTAGTAGAACACTATTTTAAAAAACACGTGAAAGAGACTATTAAGCTTAACTTTCTTATTTAAGCTTAAGTTAAGTTTAATTTAACCCAACTTACTTAATAGATACACATCGTTCGTGCATTCAGGACCTATGCAAAGGCTATTGACACTGCTAGGCAAGACCTCTTTGATAAATAATAAGTAACATTTCAGTTATAGATCGTAACCAGTTATGTACTTCTGTCGTAACTTACCTCCTGCACTGCTTCAGCAACGATAGAGTCGACATCTTTTCTGTTTATGTTCTTATCGCGATAGTGTATATTGTGAGCTGCACAGTATCTTTCAACGCTCCTGGGAGAAATTCCTCTTTTCCCTGGCATCAAAGACTTAATGTAGTCGCCTATTACTATATGGAAGGAGTTCATTTTAGACTGGCTACAAGCAAAGTCCAGCCACTGCCTACGTCCTGTAAAGATTCTGAAAATTCAAAGGCTAATATGCTATCGACGCGATTTCTTGTGTTTTTGGTCAAATAACCCTTCAAAATTCATGAAAAAGCGCATTTTATGCACCCATTTGTGTCCTTGTCCGTCAACATTTGAGATTCCCGCCAAATTCGAAATGGCGCAAGGTGATTGGTCAAAATCTAAACCCAGTATCCTTTTCGCACCGTGTTCACCGGCGGCGAGATAAATACTACAACGATGGATATCGATGGTCTTGTTGATGAAAATTATATCAGAACACTAGTCGTTGAAAGAAGGTGGACACATAAGGAAATTAGTAATTTTCTGAAAGAAAACTATCCAGGTAAAGATGGCCTTAGTGAAATGAGTGTGAGGAGGTATTGTAAAGTCAATAATATTCATAAATCCTCGAGGCTTCCAGACAATCAACTTGATGTTGTGGTGAGCAACGCAGTCTCTCAGGTAATCTTAAAAAGTTATTGTAATTCATAACTTTTTTTGGAATAGCTGGACATTTCTTATTACTCTATTTAATATTTCTCAGTTAAATAACAACTGGCAGGTGGATTTATTGAAGTCATATTCAACAGGTTGGTCCAACTTACGGAAGGAAAATGCTGAAAGGCAAACTAGAGGCAGAGGGAGTTCGAGTCCATGACAAGAGAATTTCTAAGTCATTACAAAGAGTAGCTCCAGGATATCACCAACAAAGAGTTCAAAATACAGCAAGACTTTTTAATCCACTACCATACAAGTCGGATTACTTTGGTCATAAAATCCATCTCGATCAAAACGAGAAATTAGTTATGTATGGTTGCACGACAGTGATAGCATCAGATGGTTACAGTAATTATGTTTTGGCCGCTGCATCAATGCCAGTAAAAAACAATGTAGAAATTTACAGAGCTGTTTTAAGGTGAGCATTCAAACTTATGCTAATCCTTGTAAGTGCATTCTTTCCATGTGTTAAGGTATTTCATTGTCATTACCAAGGTATCGTTTTTAGCGGTATCATCAGGTCACGAAAATAGAATACAACAGTAAAGCTAGTGTATTTTGTTGTATTCTATTTCCTTTACCTGATGATGCCGGCATCTGGTGAACGCTTTGTCATGAACTTATTTTACCTTCTACATTAGTGTGCTGTGCACGGCTTCAACTCTCATTTTAACTCATAATGCTAGTAAAGGACAAGTTCCAAATTCAAAAAAAAATAGTTCATGTGTGAAAATAATATATTACCATTAGCACAGAACATTCTGTGGCCACTTAGAGATACATATTGAATATTAATTATTATCTATCTCTGAGTACCCTGGGTACCAGAGGCTGGATTTACTATTTCTTATAGTTAATTTACAGTGTGAAGCGCAGGCCTTGAGGCCGAACACCGAACCGTAAACCAGGTTTAGGGCTGGCTTACTGTTTGGCCTTTGGACTCAAGGACGGCGCTTTCGCACTGTAAATAAACTATAAGAAATAGTAAATCCAGCCTCTGGTACCCAGGGTAATTTCTGATCACCCATGTAATACATGTATCAGGTAGATATCTCAAATCCATTTATATTATGTTAAAGAGATACACCAGGTTTAGACTGTAAAAAGGGACATGTTAGAGGCTTTTGTGATGTCCCCCGTCTGCATTTCAAAACTATATGTTACAATTTCAGAGGTTTTCATTTTGTCAATGTTGGTAAATATTTTAACAAAGCAGTCATTTGTTACAAGTTTGTGGTTCTTGTGTTGCGGTCTCAAGGCCAATTGTCACTAAATATCAGAATGTACCCATAACAGGGCATTCTATCCAATAATTATCTACTAAGCTCATATTTTAAATCCATAAGTGGAAGCAGATCCTCTCTACCTTGTAAATAATTTTCATATTGTTGCATTATTTTCTGTAACCTATGAATAATACATTCTGTTTTGGTTCAGACCAATTCTTTTGGAATATGGGTTATGGGACCAGGTCAGAGTAGACTGTGGTAAAGAATTTTATTTGACATTATTTGTGCAAGAAACATTGGCTCCTCATAGATGCAACACTTTAAGAAAGCCCTTTAAACAAACTCCTTCAACCAAGGTTAGTAGTCATGTCATTCATGTGGAGGGTGGTCTAAATCAACTAAAAGCAATCCTTGCCTTGAATCATTGAAAGGTGTTGTAATATAGGAATTTTTTCACCATACTTAATTGTATTCTACGATTTGATATGAATTGTTACCAATGCCAGTGACCCAATGTTAATACAATAAAATGTAGTTTAGAATTTGATCAAATACTCTGCTAGCAGTGATATTCTTTTAGAGCTGGATTGCCACTGCTTGCAAGGTACTGATCAAGAATTTTTAAGGTTTTAATAAAGTTTGTTTATAGTGGTTATAGCCTAGACCTAGATAGAGCTAGATCTTTGTTTGATTTTTTAGTTCTATCTTATCTCATCATTTCATAATATCATAGTTAGTAAAGGGGAAATTCCCCTCTACTAAGTACTGTCATCTAATTTTTTTTATAATTTTTAGTTCTTTCTGCTCATATGTTATTATTATGCTAAATAAATGTGTGCTGACCATGATTTCAGTTATTGATCCAGTACATCTGTTCAACAATGCGTAATATATAAAATATGAGCGGGAGAACTTAATGGGCATGAAAAACTGCGATGCTGCAAGCGATCAGTTTTAAAGCCCATAACAGGTCACTATTTTATATTGCTTATCAAATTCCAACAAAAGCTAAAGCATATTTTGCAAAAAAGACAAAATATCATTTTTAAGAGAAAATGGTTATAAGTGGTATGCAAATCAGGACAATCTCTTGCAATCTCTCTCATAATAAAGATGCGGTCATGGCGTTGATTTTCTGTTGTGTTTACCTTTTGAATTATTAATGAATTTGATAATAAATTGTAAACACTTTTTCCAGCTGCTAGACTCACTGATTTCTTCATTGTGCTCGAGTCTTGCACAAGTGTATCATTGTGACCTAAAAAAGGATTAGCTACATTATCTGTACTTTATCCATGGACTGCCCCCAAAACTTAAAAATTATTCAATTCATTATTTTATAGGCATCGTCCATTTTTTAGACTACAAGGCCAGCTTCTTGTTGTCTTTGCAGTCACCTTGTTTGACAGAAAACTATCAATTCTCAGCTTTACAGATTATAACAAACATACTGTACACTGTTTTTTTTATCTACATGCACATAGAACCATATGGCTGAACGACATTGGGTTGAAGTAAATGGAAGGGTTAATTATCCAATCAAGCAACAACTACATAAAATGGTCCAAGAAGAACTTATAGATATGACAGATGAAATTGATAAATATTGTGTTTCATGGATAACAATTCAAACAGTTCAGGCAGGAATACAGGAGCTGCTTCCAGCATGGAATAATCACTCAATTCCAGGTTATTATTGTGTCAGTGGGTGTTAATTATAGAATGCTGGGGTTGGGGGGTTAATTTGACTTGTGCATGAATATTTGCTGGTCTGTGGACCTTTTTTTGGGAAGGTGGAGGTTTGTTTTAGGAAGGTAATATTGGTTATGAAAGTGTGAGGAAAGGCACTATTTTTACCTTAATTTCAGGGTGTAAAAAAGCCAACTTGATTTAAGAGTCAAGATTTAAACCAGTTTCAGTACATCAGTTACCAGGGCAGCATTAGTTAGTAGTTTACTTCAAGCATTATATCATGATTGTGGGATTGCAGTCATAATCATATTGTCCCATTCATCTCAAAGCTTATTTTTATAACCATGTTTTAAGAATTCTAGTGATTTGAGAACATACATGTATACACACTATTCAACTTGAATAACAAGCCAAAGCCAGATTCATAAGGCAAAACATGAATTTCCATTTGATCTACAAGAAATTGCCGCATTATGATAACTCCCATGAAAGCTTTTTATTCAATTTACATGCTTAACTTTAACCTTCAGGAAAAGGAAAGCCAGTGAATATCATGAGGACCTGTTATTCAGCAGTATCTCTTCAAGAACACAGCATTCCCACCCCTGAAGCTGCAGTTTTACAATATGAGCGTGCAGGAGGGAAGTTGAAACACTTTGGTTTATTTGGTGTTGACCCTTTGGAAAGTGATCCATTTTTAAGAGCAACTAGATCCAGAGAATTCCTAAAGCATTTTCCATCATTTGATGTAATTTTCAATGAACTGGTAAACAACAAACCTAACATGATGAGGCAAGCTGTTATGCTATTTATCAATATCACAAGAGATTTAGCAGTGTCCTCTTCTTAAACTGTAAACTGACTTTCATGTGCATTATATTTTGTGTTTCCAATGTCCTGTGTGAGAATTTATGCTTGAGTCTTGTCTTGTGCAATTCTTGTGGTTAGCAAAAATCAGTGTTATAACAGCCATCAAAGTTATTTTGAGCAAATATTTTCCTCTTGCCTTATTTCATTATGACATTAAGGGGCAGTTCCATGAAAATTTCGTAAAAGTTTGTGCAAAAATCACGATACAAAGCTAGACTGTCAAG